ATGACCCCGAAGCCGGTGTCCGGCGCGCGGTCTCCCCGGAGCCCGGACCGGAACATGATCCCCTGCACGCGATCTCTCGGGTGCAAGACCCACAGCATCAGTGCCAAGCGCAACGTCCTCGGCCGCTCGAAGCCCTTCCACATCCTGATGGCCGAGTTCACCTCGGTCGATCATTACACCCCGCCGGCGGAGCCGGCCGCCACCACGGCAGCCGCTGCTCCGGCCACGGCCACGGCCACGGCCACGGCCACGGTTGCCAGTACGGCCGCGGCCACGCCATCCTCCTTTGGCCCGGCGTCGACCGACTCGCCGAGCACCCGTGGCCGGGCCGGGGCCGGGGCCGGTCGGGCCGCGGTGTCGGTCAAGCTGCTGGCTCAGCCGGGCGAGGGGGGGGGCCCGCCGGCCCCGGGCCCCGGGTCCCGGCCGAGTGCCCGAGCCAAGGTGCTCACCCCGGAGCCCGAGGCCCCGGCCACCGGCCCTCCCCCGGCCGACAAGGCCCCGGCCGACAAGAAGCCCATCGACCCGGGCCCGCCGGCCACCAGGGCGCCGGAGCTCGAGGCGGCCCTGCTTCAGCATCCGGCCATGCGGCCCCTGGCCGAGGCTCTTCTGTGCATGGCCAGCGTCATCCCGGCCCCGGCATCCGGGGCCATGGTGGAGGGACTTGCTTTGGCGCCGCCAGCGCCCGGCCCCCCGGGGGCGGCCCCTGCCCTCGGCCGGCCGGCCAGCGGCTCGGCCACCGCCTCGCCATTCCACATCCCGGGGAATTCCTTCCGCTCGGACCACTTTGCCATCACCACTTCCCCGGGGCTTGGGGCCCCGCCGGGCCTGGGGCTCCATCTCGCCACGCCCGGGCATGTTCCCTCTCGGGCGCCTCCCCCCCCGGCGGTCTTCCGGATCATTGGCCGCTCGGCCGGCCCGACGTCGGCCTCGCGCGCCGCCGGCTCGCTTCTGGTGCGCTCCGCTGGCTCCTCCGTCCTCCTCCTCCCTCCCCTCTCCCCGGTGCGGCCCTTTCGTGGCTTTGGATCGGCGCCTCTGACCTGCTTCGCCTCTCGGCGCCAATGGGGCCCCTTGCCCTGTCCCTCCCCCCTCCCCCCCCCCCCCCCCCGTCTGCTTTGTCCTTTCCCTTTTGCTCCCTCTGCCCCGTCGGCCTCGCTTGCCCCATGTGTGCCGGGGGTTTGCGCCTGCCTCGCTTGTTTGTCTTGCCGATAGGGTGGTGGCCTCTTCCGGTCGGCGGTCTTCACGCCGGACTCGAGTCCCCCCCCGGGGCATCGCGCCGACACCCCGACGACCCTGCCGCTGCCCATGGCCACCTCGTCGCTGGCGCTGCCGGAAATCCCGGTCCTGGCCGGCGGCGGCCCGGCGGCTCGGTTCTTCCCCAACATGTACTCTCGTGTGCATGAGCCGCTGTTTTTGTCGCGGCCCGCGCCCCTCGGGCAGGCGCCCATGCCGCCCGGTGTGCATATGGGCCCTGCTGCCCCGGGCCGCCCCGGGGGTGGTGTCCTGCCGGGCGGGTCGCGTGCCATGTCCCCGGCACACGGTACGCAGCCACAGCCGCCCCCCCCCCCCCCCCTGCAGCAGCTCCATCCTCCCCATGTCACGGTGGTGTCGATTTGCTAACCGGCCCTGTGGCCGGCCTTCAGACCTGCCGGCTCACCCTCCGGGTGCTTATCCCCCAGGCCCGCATGCCTATCAGCATCCGCATCCGCATCCGCATCCGCATCCACATTCGCATCCGCACCCGCCGCCGCCGCCGCCGCCGCACTCGCAGCAGCTCCCACACAACTATCCACATGGGCCCCCGCATGGGCCCCCGCATGGGCTCCCGCATGGGCCCCCGGTGCAGCACCCGCACCACCACTACTCGCAACAGCAACGCTACTCGCCTCATCCTCAGCATCCCCACCCTCCTCACCCCCATGCACAGCAGCAGCAGCAGCAGCAGCAGCAGCAGCAGCAGCAGCAACATCATCCACAGCAGCAGCACTATAGCTCGCCGCCGCATTTCCCGCAGCAACCGCACTCCCCCCCGATGCCGGCGCTGCCAGCTACCAATGCCGGGGCAGCCCCCCGGGTATCCGACGTCAGGGCCCCTTCGCCGGGCTCTCACAAGGACTCGGCCGCTCTCTCTGCTGCTGCCAGCATAGCTCCCCCGCCACAGCCGAAGAAGCGGGCACGTTCCGGGTCTGCCACCCCGCGGCCACCGAAGCCTGGCACCGGGTCCGCCGCGGGCGGGCCGGCGCTTCCGGTCTCCCTCCCTCAAGCAGCTGCCCCGCCGGCAGGCAATGAGGCTGCCAGCTCGGGTGCCCCGGCTGCCGGGACCACCGCACCGCCGGCTGCCGGGGACCCACCCCCCCGGCCAGGCGGCCCGGTCAAGGCAAGGCGCAAGGTCGGCACTCGAAAGAAGAACTCCCCGGCGCCGGACACCCCGGCCGCGCCGCGCCCAGCCGCCGCCGCCGCCGCCGCCGCCGCCGCCGCTGCGCCTGCTCCCGCTCCGGCGCCCGCCCCCCCGGCCAAGCTCCAGACCTCCGGGGCTCCGGCCGGACCGGTCAAAAAGAAAGGTGTGTTTGCCGGCGGCCGGAGTTCTCGCCCCCCCCCCTCCCCCCCTGCCTGGCGCCGCGCACGCATGTCCACATACGTCACTAACCTTTGCGCCTCTTCCGAAGCCAAAACCACCGCCGCCGCCGCCGCCACCGCCGCGAGCGCCCCACCTGCCGCCGCCAAAGCCGGGTCCGCCGCTGGTCCCGCACCCAAGGCTGCTGCCGCCCGACCGGCTGCTGCCGCCGCCGCCGCCGCCGCGGCCTCCTCCGCACCGACGACGGCCGTCCCCGCGTCCGGGCCCGCAAACTCGAAGCAGAAACGCGCCGTCAGCTGACCGGATCACATGACCCCTCCCAATACACCCATAAGCCACCACCCATGTTTCTGCGCTGCTCCCCACGCCCGAGGGTATCCACGTCTCCTCCCGCCTCTTTTTTGTTCCTCCCCTCTCGCCGTCATCTGCCGATCAAGGTGCCTTTGCCCCGCCCCGCCCCCCCCCCTCTCCTCCTGCCTGGTAGCCTCTGTGGCGGTGTGCATTTCGCTGTTGTTGGCGCGCGCGCGCGTGCGCATCGGCCCCTCCTGACCTCTGTCCGCCTCGCCCCCCCC